AACTAGAACATTGTAACAGGATGAACACATGACAGAGATTCCATAAATCTTAAATGTATACTTTGATGGAACAGGAAGTAGAACAGGTCAGCATCTTGCCAACCAATATTATGTGGCATTATTTCCTGAACTAGTAGTGGAGAAATTTCTTGGCCCAATCTCAGTTGAAACTTTCTATAATTCTAAAAATAAGCAATTATATTGAGATGTAATTTCTTTCACAAAGAAATTTTTTCATTACATTAACTTAGCCCATGCTAGACAACTTAATTTTTGTTTTTTGTTTTTTAACATCAATCTATATCATATAACGAAACAGAAGAAAAAATTTTCCCTATGGTATTATCTTAGAATTTATAAATAAATAGTCATATAAATAATAAATCTTTTAAAAAATTTCTCTGAAGTAAATCACATTCATGACATACAAATCAGATGACTTCAGATTTTTATTAGCATCATGGTGCTTTTTTATTACTTATTTTCTTGCATTATTTTCATTTATAATTTGGTTGTTTTGGAATTTGACTGAAAAATGTATCCTTAACTAAAGATCTTGAGGCATTTTACTATATTTTCTATTAAACTTGTGAGGACTTTTTTCATAATTAGATCTTCGCTAGTCAATATTTTCCACAGAGTAATGACTTTTCCCATCACCTTTATTGAATGACCATTCTTTTCTCAGGATCTGAAATGCCATCTCTGTTGCCACATATTTATTATTCAATATATCTGTAGGCATTTTTTTTCATAAAAATTCTATTCAGTTCCTTGAATAAGTATATTATCACTTAGGGAAAATTATTTGTGTTGCCTTTTCTGTTCTTCGGTGTCATTAAATTACAGGTTTAAAGACCCCATATTTTTACCACACATTTTTATACTTCTCAGAATACAGTAGGTAATGAGTAATGCTTTGTTCACAGGGCTATTATAAGTTGCACTTAAAGAATAAGATAAAAAATGACAAGAGTTCTTTCTCCTCAGGGCTGAATAGTAATCCATTGCATACATTTAAATATACCACATCTTCTTTGTCCATTCATTTGTTGGTAGAACCTTATGCTGTCTTTAAATGTTAGCTATTGTGAATAATACTGTAATGAACATGGGAGTACAGGTACCCTAACTTCATTTAATTTGGATATATATTCAAAAGTGGGATTGCTGTATGAAGTGATAGCTCTATTTTTAAGTTTTTGAGGAATCTCCATACTGGTTTCCATAATGGCTGTTCTAGTTTACATTCCCACAAACAGTGCTCAAGGGTTCCCCTTTTCCCCACATCCTCACAAGCATTTGTTATCTCTTCTATTTTTGTGATGTGATATCTTATTAAGGTTTTGATTTGTATTTCCTTTATGATTAGCGATGTTGAGCACCTTTGCATGAACCTTTTATCCATTTGTATATCTTTGGTAAAATGTCTATTTGGGTCCCTTCCCCGTTTTTAATAGGATTATTTTTTAAATGCTATTGAGTTGTATGAGTTCCTGGTATGTTTTGGATATTAACTCCTTATCATGTATGTGATCTGCAAATATTTTCTCTAATTTTGTAGATGACTACCTTTGTTGAGCAGAACCTTTATTTTTTACATCCAATTTTTAAAATTTTTATTGAATTTATAAAGATGGCATTGATTAATAAAAGTATATAGGTTTCAAGTGTACAATTCTATAATACATCATCTGTATATTTTATTACAACAACATGGATGGATCTTGAGATTATCATGTTAAGTGAAATAAATCATAAAGAAAAAAATCAAGAACCATATGATTTCACCCATATGTGGAATATAAAACTGAAAGCAGCAAATGAACAAACAAAAAAACAAAAGCTCATAGACACAGACAACAGAACGGTGGTTACCAGAACGAAAGGAGTGCAGGGGGATAGTGAAGAGTAGAGAGGGTCAAGTGTGTGGTGATGAAAGATTTGATTTCGGGTGGTGGGCACACAATGAAATATACAGATGATGTATCATAGGACAGTACACTTGAAACCTATGTAATTTTACTAATGAATGTTACCCCACTAAATTTAATAAAATTGAAAAAAAATCAGTGAAGTCAATGGATACAAGATCAACATGTAAACCTCAATTGTCTTTTTAAAAATATACTTTTATTGCTATAATATTACAGGTATCTCCCATTCCCCCTTTATCCCCCTTCTCCTTGCCCCTACACCCACTCTAGGTCTTCAATACCCTATTGCTCCTGTCCATGAGCTATGCATATAAATATATAACTTCTTTGGTTTATCTCTTCTAGTCCCCCCCAACCCCACATCAAGGTATGTCAGTCTGTTCCATGCCTCCCTGCTTTGGGTCTTATTTTGCTGATCAATAAATTTTGATCATTAGATTCCACAAATAAGTGAGATCATGTGATATTTGTCTTTCTCAGATTGGCTTATATATATATATATATTATTGATTTTTTACAGAGAGGAAGGGAGAGGGACAGAGAGTTAGAAACATCGATGAGAGAGAAACATCGATCAGCTGCCTCCTGCACTCTCCCTACTGGGTATGTGCCCGCAACCAAGGTACATGCCCTTGACCGGAATCGAACCTGGGACCCTTGATTCCGCAGGCTGACGCTCTATCCACTGAGCCAAACCGGTTAGGGCAGATTGGCTTATTTCATTTGGCATAATATTTTCCAGGTCCATCCATGCTGTCCCAAAGCTCAAGTGTTTTTCTGTTTGAAGCAGCAAAAATTACTAAACATTTAAAAAAATAAAAATGTCATTTACAAAATTGTGACCATAAAATATCCATGTTTCTGTAAGACTTCAATATAGGAAAATTAAAAATATAGTAGGTAAATTAAAGCAAACTTAATACATAGAAGGATAAAGCATGATATTAGTTAGAAGAGTCAATATTGTAAAATGACTAATCTTTATAAATTAATTTTTAAATGCTGTCCCAAATATAATCCCAAGTGTTTTTAACTGTTTTATTAAGGTGTAATTTACAAAGCATAAAATTCATCCATTCAGAGTGTACGTATATACCAGTGATTTTTAGCATATTCCCAGAGTTTGCAACTGTCACCATGATCAAAATTTAGAAAATGTTCAGCCCCCAAACAATGTGCCAATTTGCAGTCATTTCTTATTCCCACCTCTCTTCAACACCTGGCAACCACCAATCCACTTTGTGCCTCTGTGGGTTTGCCTCACAATGTGATAGGCTGAATGCCACAAATATAATGTTGAACAAAAAAAAGTCAGAAACTAAAATTAATGATATCTGTACATTTGAATGTGTATATTATTCTCTAATAATTGTTAAGGAATTTTTCAGTATTAGAACAAATAATATAATTCATTTTAAGAGTTATGCAAAAAAAGAGTTATGCAAATAATACTATTTCCATTTCATGAAAAATAAAGTTCCCCGACAGAATCCAAACTCAGGTGTTTTACCTCTAAAGCTTATGTTTGCAACTATATATTTTTGGAGCTCCACAACTCCATGATGTGAGGCCATATAGGTGTAGCAGAACACAGTCACCTTTATCAGATGATAATTCTGCTATTCTGTAACTAAGAAAAATGCATAATTTTGTTGTTATCGTGTATGGAGACAATCCATGAAACAATAAATAGCATTTTTCATATAAGTGTAATAGGAAAACATTTTGAAAATAGGTAATGATACTCTTCACATAATATTAGTAAGAACTGGTTATTAGGAAAACTGGGTAGTCATTCTTTAATATTTATATCAACATTTCATTAACTTTGAACTTCATTCTTCAAGTTTATAATTCAACTAAAACAAATGTATTCATAATACTCTTTTAAATGTCTCCTTTTTGTATTTCTTATGCAGTATTTAAAAAACAACTTACTTTAGTTTGAAAGCTGAACCATTTATCAACGTCCATGGATGACCACTGCTGCTACGAAAAATTCCAATCCATGATGGTGGTAACATGAAACTCAGAAATTTCTACCACAAAATAAAGAATTTTTATTTAAATGATCATCATGAAAGTTTGTATTATTTTTTAAATGCAAGTAGTGTACTTTCATATGATCCTTCATTATCAGAAAAAAATAAGATGTTGGATTTTAATTAATATTAAACATAAAATCATAAACCAAGAATTCATATTGATAAAACTTTTCAGCAATGTTTGTACTTTTTCTACTTTTGATTTAAAATTAATTCTTGAACATTGAGACTTAGTAGTGATGTTAGCAAGGAAAATCCTGATATATGCAATGTAGTAGTTACCAATGTTGACAAAATTAACAGAACAAGGCTTTAAATAAATTTTCAAATACTTATTTCAAGTATTTGATACTGTGACTAAATCCATGTAGATCTCTACTATGTTTCTCATAATTTAGGTTTCAGAAAAAAATTAAGGGATTGTCATTAAGAAAACAAATGACATGGAAGCCAAAAATTTGGTTTTCTGTGCCTCACATCATTCTTGAACCAGATAAGACCTGAACTGATCTATTCTGTGTTGGTGGAATCCAGTAGTCTAAGTATCAGAGACTCATTTCTCTGCTATTCCCTGCTAAATGCAGCTATAAATTCTAGAACTAGTGAAAGATGTAAGTGAAGGAGAGCTCTGACGGTGCAAAGAGAAAGGGAAAAAGGTTTGGTACTCCAAGATTAGAGAACAACAGACAGGGTAACTTATATCTTCACCCAACAGCAGTAACCTAGGCCTGCTGTTTCCCAATATCCAACATAGCATTATAGGAGGTAGTTCAAAGGAAGCCATTCCTCCCATGCATCAGAGAGAGAATTCAGCCCAGCACCACCAGCCTAACCTGCAGGGCGATCCATTAAGACACCTGCTAACAAAAGCAATCAGAGTAAGTTTTCCTTCCCCTAAGAGAAACCAAGGTAGGAGGGCTGGAGGCAGCACCAGCAAAGGGGACCCTGTAACTAAAATCAATGGGCCCAGCATGACTTTTTGTTGCTGAGGGCATGAAACTCACATCCCCAATGAGAGACATCAGGTAGAATCTACTTTAAGATGTTCCATTCCCATAACTGGCAGTGAAAATTAACAAACTGCAGATACATGCAGCAATATAAATAAATTGTGAAACATCAGATGGAGGTGAAAAATGAAGAAAGGCACACTGTATGATTCCATTTATATGAAAATCCAGAACAAGCAACAACCCATCATATTAAAAACTAAGACAGTGGTTAAATAAAGAGGGAAAAGATGTGATGAAAGAATACACAGTAGCAGGGCTGCAGAGGTTGGAAACTTTCATTTGGGATCTGATTTGTAATTACATGGTTCTATTCACTTTGCAACCAATTTGCACAATTATGGTATCTTCAGTGTTGTAGACATATGGTGAAGTTAAATAGCAAAGTTTATTTTAGAGAACAAGCATTTATAAAAACATGGTTTTCTATGAAAAGCAACATTGGAACTTAACAAATGTGTATTAATGTTATCAAATATAAATAAAATGTAAATCAAAAAAAGAATATTAACACTTCAAAATGATAACTAAAATATGTACAAGAATATATGTCAACTTTGTTAATACAATATAAACTAAAGTAAGCTTTTAATAAAATCTTTGAAACACTTAAAATCTTACCATTTCTTCTTCATTATCTATATAAAGCAGGATAGAGTTTTTAGAAGCACAGGCCAGCCCACTCTCAATCCATGTTTTATTTTCAGTACTAATGTAGTAGCAGTTGTTGGAATATGTAAACCACTCCAGTGGACAATGACCACAATGATATGCTAAAGAAAAATTATAAATTTTTAACAAATACAATTTGAATAAAAAAATTAATCTACATATATGCACATGTACATACATATCTGTGCATAATATCTATGCACATTCACAGGCTGATACATATAAAAAACACTCATACACCCACTCAGGGAGAAAGGTCACCTCTCATTGCCTAATTCATGTGCTCACATAAAGAAATAACACAAAGAAAAATATTAAATCTCTAATGTCTTGGAAGTCATTGGATGAAACCACTTTTTTTTTTTTTTAGAATAGCAATGAGATTTTGTATCAACATAATAGAGCAGTAGGAATTTTGAGATAATTGGCAACAATGGATATGGCGATTTTAAGTAAATACTCCTTCATTTTATTGCATCAGAAGAAATACTTTTTTATAATTATTTGTAAATATTTATTGATCATTTTATAATTTATGTCCTCCCCCCTCAAAAAGTCTATTGTAATTTTTGCCTGGCTTAGAATAGAGACAAAATCTAAACTTTTCTAATATTAGAACTTTGAAAATTATTATGTACCTTTCAGGATGTTTGTATTGAGGGATGAATTGTTCCTCTCCAGTTTACCAGTACCTTAAAAAATTAAGGTAATTGTTTAAAAAGTAATTAATCTAAACAAATGATAATAATTTTTGTTTTTAGCTTGAAGTTTTTTTAAAATATTGTCTATGATGAGAATTATCTGTAATAAAATTGATTTTACTAAGAAAAATGAATAAAGTAATACAGATTTGGGAAAAATATTTTAAAAACCTATGGGAACAAACTTCACCATCTCTTATAGTACTGGCTTACCCAATATCAAGAATTAATTTGCATTTCTCAATAAGTTCTTTTGCAGTGGTTCTCAACCTTCCTAATGCCGCGACCCTTAAATACAGT